CCCTTGCGTTTGACGTTTACACACTACCGCCATCTGTTCAGCGTACTACCCATCACAGTATACTCAACAGATGGCGGTAGTGTTTTAGTGACGATGTTTTATATTGAAAAATATTCAATGTATTTGTTTATTATTTTCAACCACGAAATCCGCTGTCAAAGAGTTCGACTTGACAGCGGTTTGTTTTTTATTTTCAACCAGTAAAATGTACAGTACAGTACATGCACAGTACATTCTCAGCATACAAAATCCGGTGCATGAATACTTTCATACCTCACGGAGGCAGTCAGAGTTGAGTTGGAAATAATAATTACACACTACGAAAAAGTGTAAATTTTAGTTACCTGAGGCTAACCCATGTAAGCGACCCTTTTGGCATAATAATCAGTTCAAGCTGAACATTGCATAACGTCCTAAGTAACATTGATCGATTCTCTTAGATAGATAAAAGCTTCTTTTCCGATCTGTGTGCTGAAAATACCTTGAAATACCTTTACATTGCCGTGGATACAAAGAGAAAGTCGACGAAGAGAATCTGTCAATGTTACTTAGGACCTAATGTAATGTTCAGCTTGAGTTGAAAGAAACGAGGAAATAAATTCAATCAAACCGACAGTGAGCATGCATAAGGGCGTATACGCGATGATCGATTCTCTTCATCGATTTTCTCTTTGCATTGCTACAGCTAAGCGAAACAATTTTCTAGAATTTGTTGAATGCAGAGTTGTAACAGGTTGTATTGGCTATCAAAATCAACAGCAAACGAACCGAGAAACGTTAACTCTAGCGAATTATTAAGAAAAGAGAAAATCGACGAAGAGAATCGATCCTCGCGTTTACGCCCTTATGCATGCTCACTGTTGAAACGTTCTCTTCGTCCAACCTGTTCTATATAAGGTGTAGAGATCTAGTCCTGACGTATGTGTTGGTAGAGGGAAAAATATAAACTTTGTGGGAGACGATGGTGACGACATCATAACACTCGAAAGCAATTTTGTGAAAGAAGAAATAAAACAAAAGCTAGCTATTTTTTGATGAATATTTTGCTTGATTGTATTATTTTGTGTAAAGTCGCTGGGAAATATCAGGTAACGATTTGTTTTTTTATGATAACTCCTTACATGAAAACAGGCAAAATCTCACAAACAGGCTGCTTTTTCATGGTATACAGTGTGATAATTCAATAATCAATCAATTATCTCAACATTTAGTGGCAGACCATTCATAAATTTTGGTAACATACATAAATTCTATAAATCATACTAAATTTCCAAGCAAGCGCCGATCGATACAAACGTTATGACGTCACTACAAGGGTGATTGAGTGAACGAAATAAACGAATCGTGCGAAGCGGAATTAAAACCGAGTGAAAAACGACGTGCACCAATACATTCAGGCCTACAATTCCACACCTTAGTTGCTCTTCGTCGACTTGCTTCAACCTGGTCTATACAAGGTGTGGAATTGTAGGCCTAAATGTATTGGTGCACTTCGTTTTTCACTCGGCTTTCATTTCGTTTCGCACGATTCGTTTCTTTCGTTCACTCAATCACCCTTGTAGTGACGTCATAACGTTTGTTTTGATCGGCGCTTGCATAAGAAACTTAATAAACATTATAGAATGTATGTATGTTACCAAACTTTATGCATGGTTTGCCACTACATGTAGAGATAATTTATTGATTATTGACTGATCACAAATGCAAAGCAGTCTGTTTGTGAGTTTTGCCTCTTTTCAAGTAACGAGTTATCATAAAAATACAAACCGCCAGCTGATATTTCCAAGTGACTTCACAAAGAATACAATCAAGCAAAATCATCATGCAAAAATAACTAGCATTTGATTTACTTCTTATTTCGCAAATTTGCTTTCGAGTGTTATGACGTCGTCACCAACGTCTCCCGCAAAGTTTACATTTTTCCCTCTTCCAACACAAACCTCAGGGCTAGATCTCCACACCTTGTATAGACCAGGTTGGACTTGCTTATGCTTCGGCTTGAGAACACTTAATTTTACATGGAATGTTTGTTTACGTTCCATGATTTACGTATAATATGGATTACGTCTAGTTCCTTTGAAGGCTCCAAACAGTTCGAAAAAGTAGTGTAAATTTATGTTCAATATGATGCACATAAATGGAGCGTCACATATCATATAACTTAACATTATAAATCATGTAAAGTTCTGAAGCATTTCATGCAATGTAGCAATTATTGTATACAAAAGCCCATCTTTGTAAACAACATTGTTTACAAGTTGCTCGGTTGCGTGAAATGAAATACAAGTTTACGTGTATGAATGTTTACATCACAATTAAAATTCAGAATTTTTATGTGTGTAGGTTTCGGAAATTTCTGGAATGTTCAAAGTTCATAATACTTTAGAATTTGATAGAATTCACGTTAAAATGTTCGGCTTTATCTTCAATTCTCAGAGAATACCGTGGAGATCGTGTTGCAGTTGCAATGGTGCATGGCCTGCTTTTGCATTTTCTTTTGTTGTAGGGGAAATAGCTCTAATGTTGGCCTATGGATCTAAGATTGGGCCCATCGCTAAAAATCTGCTATTTATCAATTTTATCTAGATGAACGGTACTAATGGATATTTTTGGTAGTTATTGAAAATTTAGTCGATTGCTTAATTTATCTTCTTCTTCTTTTCTTCTTATTCCTCTTCTTTTTCTCCTTCCTCTTCTTTTTCTTCTTCTTCTTCTTCGCATTTCAAGCTAATTATTCAATATTAGCTTATTGCGTGCTCTCAACTTAGTGTTCTAGACGCACTTTCACAGTTATTAATTGTGAGCTTTCGATGCCTGTACCATTTTTGCATTGGTATAATTGTGTGGCAAGTCCAATCATACTTCTATGCCCAGGGAAGTCGAAAAATTTTCCAACCCGAAAAATTCCTAGACCGGACCGAAAATTGAACCCAGCCACCTCCAGCATGCTCTTGCTTTGTAGCTGCGCCTGTACCGACTGAGCTAAGGGAGGCTCCCTGCTTAATTTATATATGGGCCCAAATTAGGGGCATATAGGCCGACATTACATCCATTTCCCCTATTGCTACGATCTTGCGTGATCATTTATTTGTTACGATGAGCCACACATTCCTGCAGTTTTTTAGAGTAGCCTTTGCCTGATCGGAATGTGTACTTGGGATTGGTGATTAAAGGGCCAATCGGGAGATAGTGAACATTATGCGGAAGAATAGGTGATGGTAATTAGCAGTACCATTAGCAAATAGCGAAAAACTTATCCAATTTTAGATTTAACTCTCAGAATTCCATTAAACTTCACATAATTGTTTACCCCTAGTATGAACCAAACTTGTGCCTAATTTTTAAAAATGGCATATTTGATATTTTTCAATGAATCATAGTACAAAAACGGCTCATCTAATTTAAATGAAGTCTGAGTCAAAGATGAAGGAAACTGTGTTGCTGTACACTGAAAAAACCACAAATGTTCGTCAATAACAAAAAATGCATTTTTTTTTATTATATTTATTTGAAAGCTAACTTTTCTACAATGGACATGAACTATTAGTAAAAAAAAATAAGAACTTTTTTCCACGCGAACCTTTTTTTAGAAGTGTTTAACAGTTTTCTTTTCTTATTTTTGACAAAAATTGTGACGTCATTTCGCTTAGATGAGCCTTTTACGTGCTATGATATATTGAAAAATTTCGAAAATGCAATTTTGAAAAATGAGGCGGGAATCAAAATGGCTGAATTCCTACAAAAACTTGGTTAATTGCCCCTAGTGAACAATTATACAAAGTATCATGGAACTCGGAGAGGGTAAAATAAAATATATTTGTCAGTTGGCGTGCAAGTGCTCCAAATTATCGTGCAGTACACTGAGACACAGATGTTACAAAACTGTCATTGGATCTATTGTTTTAAATTATTTAAGTTTATTTTCAGCTTTTCGATGAGGAAACATCTTTAGATTCAATTTTTTCAACCATCGTTCAGGTTAGATTTATCGATATAAATTTATGTTAAGCCCTTCGATGATGGAAAATCCCTAGATTTATATCATAATGATTCACTTTATTCAGCCTTCCTTCAGACTGGACCCTTTTGATTTAAATTATTTGAGCTCATTTTCTGCTCATCGATGATTAACTTGTTTTCTGCCTTTGTTCAGACTGATTTATTTATTGATTTAAATTATATAAGTTTATTTTCAGCTTATCGATGAAGAATCTTTATATTCACTTCTTCCAGCCTCCGCTCAGGCTGGATCTATTGATCTAAATTATTTAAAAATATTTTCAGTCCTTCGGTGATTTGATTTGTATTATAAATGCAATGTGAAAGAATGAATGAATGATATATAGAATAGGCTAACGAGAAGTATAAATCAATTCTCATGAACTAAATAATTGGTTGTCTTTAAGTGCAGTTGGAAATTGTTGCAAGTTACCCCATCAGACGATTTTTCAGCTTTTTAGAAACAAGGTTCTTGTTGTTATCACACAATGTAAAGGTAGATTCTAATAGGTAGTGAATAGTGTTATTATCTAAACATTTACGAAACCTTATATGGGACTGAAATGCGATTATAGACAGTATACTTATTATTATTTCATCTTCGATTAGGTTAAATAATTGATTTTTAATTTACTCAGTTCCATTTGCATGAAAACCATTACAGTAAACCAAATAAATTTGAGTGTGATAAATTTAATTAATTGTATTTAAACATATTTCAAAAACCAACTAATCTCATCATTTTGATCTACTACTTGTCAAATAAGTGAAAATGACGAAACATATGTTCTGTTTTCATAGTTCTTTTGAAAGCATATTTCACAACGGATGCTGAAAGGCACGTTGCATCGCTCAACCACCTGTTGTACCGGGGATGTTTTCCCGCGCCCAGCTGATATTACCGGTGACAATTATTCCGACTCACTGCGCACACTCGGCCGACGACGATCGTTCCCTCATTCGGCACGCTCGATGGCTATTTCGGGTTGGTCCGGGACATTTTTTTATCAGTTTGGTAGCCGCACAAAGTTTTTAAAACTGAGCACTTCAATATTCAACTCTCAAGATTGTTTTAGTATTCGACGGGAGTTGGTTTAGACAAGTAAGAGCCTCTTCCTTTCTCTAGTACTACTGCTAAGTGAGATCATTGTTGTGTGACTTTGATGTTACGGGAGTTTGTTACAACGCATTTCAGTGCATGCTTCAACTGTTAGCCGTGCTAGCATTGTTCACCATTTGTGTTCTGTGCCCGAAGTTACATTTTCGATAATTGTGTGATTAAGTGATTGGACCTGAAATAACGTGTTCTAACAGTTACAACAATACTGAAAGGTGTTGCCTAGCACAACTCTGATACTGACTGGAAACAATCTAATGGATTAGTTTAAAAAATAACATCGACAGTTTCAGTATTGTTGATGCTACAAGAAAACTGACATTGTGATGTTCTGTGTTGAATTTACGTGAAATGTAAAAAAAAGGAAACATCAAGTAAAATCTAATGAAAGTTTTTTTTTCATTCTCTTCCTTTCATCGCAGTTAGTTCAAGTAGAACCTAAATTCATACCAAAATCAAAATGAGTTACCCATGGGAAAAGCGTGTCGAATTCATCGTCGGTCACATGTACGGTATGTATCATCTTCGAAAAGTATTGTATGAATTTCAAATCGATTGGTAACGGAATTTTACGGCATTTATGTGGGTTACACGGTTTCTACCAAGTCAACGAAGAAAAATTAATTGACCAAGTAAAATACATCGGTGAATGTGCAAAATGAGATTTTAATACGAAATAAGTGGCGCAATGTTACGATTAAATAACTTCAACACCAATGCAGAGAATGACAAGTGTCAAAATCTTACAGACGTGCGAAAATTGCAGTGCAAATAAATTGCCACTGAATTTATATTTGAAAGCAGACCATTAAGTTGGCATGTGCTGTCTTCAACTATTATCATAAAAATTGTGCATCTTAAGGACCTTCATTGCAGCAGTGGCCGCAGGTCCGAAAGTACTATTTTTAAACAAAGACAAGTAAAGCTGAACATTGCATTAGGTCCTAAGTACCATTGACAGATTCTCTTCGTCGACATTCTCTTTGTATCCGACCGGCCAGGTATTTTAAGCACACAGATCGTTAAAATAAGCTTTTATCTAGCATCTAATATGACAAACACAACAAGATGTGGTTATGTGCTCATGTTATTAACGAAAGAGAAAGTCGACGAAGAGAATCAATCAATGTTACATAGGACCTAATGCAATATTCAGCTTGAAGTGTCACGACTTAATACTTTATTAAAGGATTCGTTTTCACGTTGTCAAGTCGACAGTTGTTGTAATTAAATTCAAAACGCGTGAAGAATGCTGCCTGGGGATTTACAACAAGCTACTACGATTTACGTTTTCTGCTCTGCTCTGACCTTGTTGGTTGGTCGTGCTAGAAGTAAGAGCCCTAGCAGGATTATCGTGATTTTTATAAGATTCACGGGAGAGTTATGGCCAGGCACCATAAATCAATCGATGAACTCTTAACATACATGATTTTGACGCGTGCTGACTGAAATGTGCTACGACTAAAAAAAAATTAATGCAGCTTTTTCTTGTGACAACAAGTCTATCATCTCTCATTCTACAGAGCATTTGGGAGACTAACTATAGTTAAATATTTTGACACTTATTCGACTCGCGAGAATTGCTTTATTATTCAATCAGCCATCTTCTCACTGATAGGTGAACTATGATAAACTATAAAGTATATGGTTCTGATAATTTTGAAATGTTTCTATGAAAAATCATCTGAAGGAACCCTGAGACCTGGTGGGAATACAAGCTTAAATACTCTGGACGTCTGTCAACAGTTGTTTCAATCGAACCTTCAAAATGCACTGCTTTGCTCAATTGAAACAACTTCTTCCAATTTTGTGCTGACATAAATACTTTTACAAACTGGAGAATAGGAAAGACAGTATAATCGAGTGGCACATTTCCGTCACATAAAATTGAAGTAAATTTTTTATGACTGAAATAAGTTGTATAGCAGTTTCAACTTTCAACAACCGATTTGTGACCAGGGTAGTAATATACCTGCCAATGTAAGCTGATGTATACAAGCGAACTGTCAAATCGTTGATAAAAATGGTCGTTTTGCATACAACATGGCGTCACATCGGCAGGTCTATTACTATGAGTGTTTATAATAGACATTTTTTAATTATTCTGACGTTTTTAAATTATTCTGAAAATTCAGTCAGTTCCATTTGGAAATCCTGGGAGATCCCATTTAAAAAGTCAAATAGAATATGGTTGAAACCCAAAGCACCAACACAGCTCGTAACCCTATCTCTATAATATTTGATGATTCTTGGAACATCATTATGAGACAACGAACAAATAATTCAGAAATTGCTTATCGTGCTGAATCAGAAAGCTAGTGTTAAGCTTTTACCAGTAAAATATACAGAAGTGTACATTTTACACAAGACTACTAAAACACTCTAGTAATAGAGCTTTAGCAGCGACCAGGTTATGCCTTAAACAAACGCTAAAAGCTATAGAACTTTCTAATTTGATGGGAATACTTTTAAAACACCACTCATTTAAAAGAATTCAGATTATAAAATCAATTTCAGCGTCACAAAATAAAGTAAAAGTAAGACATTTCGCTAAACACAGCATCACAGTACCTGAAGTCCCTGGGATAACACGACTTTTTGCCATTCTTTTAAGATTTTGTTCGTGGACCTTTCATGCATTGCTATTTCGATATCTTATGTACCCATTCTTCGATACAATCAATGTAAATATTTACATTATTTGACAAATCTCAGGTAATCATGACAGCAGTTGGTCTCTTTTCTTCATTCATATTGTTTTCAATAATCAAACGTCATGATTACATAGGTTTTGTCAAAAAAGGTAAATATTTACGTTGTTTGTACCAAAAAATGCTACAATCGAGATAGGATGAGTTTGACATTCAGAACAGTAATTTATTAGCCTACTAGTGCGATTTTAAAAGAACGTCGGCTGCAAAATTGTATTTGTTTATCTCTAATCCAAAGCAAAACTCGATCGCTTACTTCAAACGAAGATAAAACTAGTGAACTAGATTTTTCTATTCACATATGGAGAGTAACTTGGTCCCGAATATTTTCTAGGGACCATGGTGATGAGAAAGACTGAGATCGAGATATAGAGAACTGAAAGTATGGGCATCTCAAGGGACTGTTCAAATCATTGAGATAGGAAGAAATGTTGTGCTAATGAACATCATATACATGATGAGTTCCGAGAATGTTTTGGAAAAGTAATTGTTTAGATTTTACCTCAAGTTCCCAGATTATGAAAACATTTTAGGAATGTCAAAAATTGCATTTTCCATCACTCTGACATAATTGTACATTAAGAGCGACAGAATGCATCATTTGTCAGGAAAAACGATGCAATAGGATTGTTGAAGGCGAGGTTGAAAGCTAAATAATATTGTGGCGCCAGCACCAAATTAAAGTTCAGAAGTCTGACTTCCGACTTCTGACCTAAAGAAAATCACGACTCTCATTATTTTGTTACAATTTGTATCTAAAATACTGAAGAGCTTCGTTCACAACATAAAGTCTCTGTCGAGAAGAGAAAATTGAACGGTTTTAACTCAGTGATCAACTACATCCAATTTTACGATACAAATTATTCCTCAAATTTCAAATTATCTGACGTTTTCATTACATAATGTCGACGATTATCTACGTTAAAACAAAGAAAATGTAATTAGCCATCGTAAGTTGTAATCCAAAATGGAGAACCATGCGTCTCCACAATTTCATAAACTGGCTACCGGAAAACATCAAATAGTACCTATTTGATTCAATATTTTAACGTAAATATGACATGATTCACAACTGTTCGCAAGTTCAGCATTTTGTTGAAAAGGTGAATCCTTTTCTTTGTGATCTAAATGAAAGCACAGTATATCCACCTGTTGGATTCGGCAACATTTTTGGCAGATCTCATGAGAATTCCTTTCTTCTCGCCTCTATACCTTCAAGCTGTATACATACATAGGGTAGGCATACCAGTTATGGTAACTGCGCTGGATATCGCACTACAACATATAGGAACACTATAATACCAGTCATAATGGTGTTACTCCATTTAAAATTCATGCCCTCAACTGGCACATTTTTTCAAGAAATGCCATAACCCGTGCACCTTCCCTATGCATAAATATCTTAAAGTATGCTTCCAGCGTATCTTTTTATGAACACAAGGATAAATGATGTCGCATTTCCGATCTTTGATCAGATTTGTGCCTCCCCAGACTGTTTGGCTGCTTGGTTGATTTTTTTCTTCTGTTTTTGGCTAAGACCCTGGTTTATTTTTCTGCATTGAACAGAGATGGAAAAACAACAACTTGAGGAGGCAATTTGTAGAGTGGAAACAAGCTGAATAATTGTGAATTTAAACATAATTCAGCCGAAACGGTGGTGGTCCTCTTGGGTTCAAACAAACGAAACGAAAGAAAACGTATTAGGCTATCACAATGGGGAGTATTTTTCACTGTTGCCAAGAACGAAGCAGTATGTAGGCGGAAAAGTTTTGAGAAGCCAGCAGCTTGGGAAAAGTGAATTTTTAAGTGTGGAATTGTACTGGACTGCGATGCAGGGAAATGGTTATTCATATGCCGTTTGTAGAGGAAACTCGACAGTTGTGTGATACACTTGGCCTAGTATGACTTTTGCAAACAGGTTGACTTGTGAGTAACACAAAAGATGAATGTGTTTATCTTAAATGTCACCATACGGCTTGGTTCCAGGTTCTCGCTCGGGGGTTACACGCCTGTTATTATCATTAGACCTACTCGTATATTTACACATGTCGTCATTTGCAAACGAAGTAGGTCAGTAGAGATGCGGCAAAGCCTAGTCATTTAAGCCACGGTATTATCAAACCGGAGGCAGCGGGTTCGATTCCCGGTTCGATCTAGAGAATCTTTCAGAATGTTAATTTTCTAAACATCCCTGTGCATAGAATATCATTATACTTGCCATACAATATACAAATTCGTGCATTGGTTGACATAGAAAGCTCGCAGTTAATAACTTTGAAAGTGCTTCAAAGAACACTAAGTCAGGCGTAAGCTCTTATTGGAACGTCGCGACCAAAGTTTACTTTCTCATGGTGAGATGGCTTCTGAGATATCCCGAATCCTCCGAGATTACTAAAAAACCAGAAAACACGTTTCGAAGCCAGTAAACCGACCGAAGATTCCGAAATATCTTCATTGTAACAAAGCTATTTTTTAATCTTTCACACGTACAAAAAAAAATGTAGAAAAACCGTGACAGCGCAAACAGAATGAACCACCCACTGGCAGACCCTACTGCGTTTAACAGTATTTTGGCTCTTTATGAAAGATTTGGGCTGGAATTGGTTGGTCATAAGTATCTGAACTGTGGCAAATTTTGCTGAATTAAAATTAACCGAAAAATTTATCAAATTAAGCTTCACCGTGGGAAACCAGCCTTGCTATAAATTTTCCATCAATCAGTGACTATTTAATGGGACAAATGAGTCCCCTTCTTGTTGTAGTAATAATTTAATACTTATTAACAACACTTCAAATGTAGCCAGCATGCCTATCATGTTATCAAGGCGTTCAGAATTACGTGCCCCATCCGTCCTCTTTCTCCACCATCGGAGTGCCAAAATGGGGTGTTCACTACACCATCCTCATACCGCGGAAAGTGTAGGTGCAAAATACGAAGCAAGTGCAAATGAGCTGTGAAAGAATGATACACTTCAACGGAACTAATGAAATTTTAACGAGTATTTGATGTCTCCATTCGGAGAATCGGGCAGATCGGTTGTTAGGGAGTTCAGTTAGATTTGATGGGTTTGAATAAGCTCCCAAAGCGATGATGATTTTTTCCACTTAAATAATCCCAAGTTTTCGGTTTTGATAGATTGTTAAAAAGTATAAACAACATATTTAAAATGTTTTATAGAAATTTGCAGATTGACAAACCATAAACTACTTTTCATGTTTCTCCACATCATTTTTCGCGGACACCAGAGAACATTAAAAACTGCCTCTATTACTATTCACCAAAGCAATTTCAATCTAGCATACGACATAAACAAATAAATTTACATAAATAAAACGCTTGGCTGAACTACGAGGAGCAGAAGATCTCCCTAGAAAATGCGCGACCGCTCAATATTTGTTCGATATGGCTAATAATTTCCCCACTCAATGTAGAAGCATTTTTACAGTTGTTGTTTTCCATAATGCAACTTTTTACGAGTACTTTTTGCTGTTCCTCGACTATGTCAATCACAAGAACAGTCGAGGGAAAGAGGCGCTGAGCATTTTGTTCCAGGATCCCACCCGCGGCGACTACTGTGTTATATTTCAACGTAATTAGCTTGGCTGGGTAAACTTTTTCCAGGTAGCTTTGATGAAAATATATCTGAGTTTAGAATTGAAATGACTTACTTCACATCATTTAAAAACAACAGTGACCTCCAATTTGATATCAGGCAAGCACACGGATTAGTTCGGTTTTTGCGTGGATTTCATTGCATCCGCTTGGGCCAAGCAAACGTGGCAACGCTTCAGCAGGAATAATTGGTCGCAATCAATAAAGCAAAATAATGATTTTATCTTAATTCCAAATTCTGGTTTCCATGTCAATTGTCCATGGCATGCTTAGACCAGTCCTGGCGAAACATCGTCATCTTCATTGACCCATCAAATATGAAAGTTAAAATTGCTCGTTAAAATGTCTTTACTGAAAGCTACCAATTACGGTACCGAGTGGAAACACTTTAACGCGGTCATGCGCTGAACTGCATGATAAACGACTAACACCATTGTTAGTAGCTCACGCGTCTCATCCTATTCTTCAGAGAGGCGGCAAATTGAATTGTTTTAATTCAACTGATTGAATACGTGAGCGGCGTCCTGTCGTACCTGGGAAAGCCATCCCATTAAGGATTTCCTATCTTGTGAATGGTTTCGTTGCTACCTTCCAGAGTAGGAGACTGTTAGGGGTAACAGCATTGTGTAAACCATGATTTTTTCATTCCTGACAAGCAAAGCGTTACCTTAACCTTCCGAGAAATGCGTCTGACAAATCTACGGAGCGCAATTCATAAATCTTCGCATTTCCTTTTAGAATTTTAAACTTTCTTAAACTAACGTGTTAGATTTAAACTGAGGATACAGGAATTCGATTTTACTAGAAATTGTAATTCATCCAAGCAACATTACAAGTTTTGTCAAGGTTTTAACGCATTCTTTCAGTCTAAATCAGATCAACAAGTCGTTTACCTCCATTGCATGTAAAATCTTAAAAAAACATATAACGAGCAATGATGATGCTGCATGCAGGGAGCGCCAAAAAATGTTCATACGTTGATAGGAGGTCAGATAGGAAAATATTCCCACTAAGGCAAATCTGCCCATATTTTTTTCCCAATTATTATTGTGGCGTTTCCTAAAGCTTATACACGCAATATGATGATTTCTTCGAACCGGTAGATAGGTTGTAAAACAATAATATTAAATCTTACTCAATACCCAACATTGTTTGAAATTTGAAACCAATGCCCAGCTCTCTCTAAACAAGCCGTGCTACAACAATGAAATGGGAAATTTACCAACCCGATCGCTCCTGCATCTGATAGCCTCGTATACATTTCGTTCTTTAATCTTCTTTCCTAACTGAAGAGCGTGCGTATATTGTTAAATTAAGGCAATTTCCACACACTTCGAGAAAAAAAAACTTCCATAGACAATGGAATGTTCCCGAATAATTTTGTTTACATTTCATACTTGCTACAAGTATCCCCGTGCTGGTTGATGTCGAAACTTCCCCGTACTGTTCAATGGCATACATATTGACATATGAAATGCGTTCTTCGAATCCAGCGATTGACATTTAGACTCTTGAATTTATGATGAATCAATCTACGCGCCAGCGATCTCCTCGGTTCGTGGAATGACACACACACAAATCACCATTGGATACACCATTTTACAACAACCAATTCGGTTTCACTTTTAACCGAGTCAAGGAAAATCCGGTACATATTTGATTTTTCTCACGCCCCCGCCTATCACCGTCGTCATTTGTATCATATAGGCCTATCAGGCGAAGAACAGCATAGATATAACATCACAGTAAGCAGCGCCAAGGGCTTCTTTCGTGGAAGATAAGATCGGGTTATACTTTCCACGAAAATGGCAGCCTGAGCGTTATCCTCCCACTTGAAACCGTGCCTTGCGAGCGATGATGGTCTTTATTAGCGAGTGGATTCAAATTTCGGAAAATTGAAACTTCACTACAGCAGAAACAATTTAAGGTGCTTAGCTATGTTTTCAAGTTCAGGCAATTTTCCAGCCAAGAGGAGATTTATGATCCACGTACACAAGTGTTCAGGAAACTCCTCTAATGATGAATTTTTTTAATGTGTAGATAGAGCCAATTGAGATTTTTTCAATTGCTTTCTAGAAACGAAAATCATACTAAACTACTAAATACACCAATAATTGGTTAAAACCATGGAGATCCTATTTTTCCGAGCTTACACAAACTTGTTTATGTATTTCATAAAATAAAGCTTGGAGTCTAAGCTTTCAATGAAAAAAAAAAATTGTGAAATTTCATGGAGTTTTTGTGAAAAAGCGCCGGAAAAAAATACAGCGCGGATGAATGAGGTACCAAATTTTTAAAAATAAATCGTATTTTTACACAAATCACGTTAAAAGGCTGTAAAATCTTAAAACATACTATAATCAATGTCATGATTATCATTTACTATCTTTGAGTGATGATAAATAAATGACAACGCATTTGATAATGCATTTCCATCCATTTTTTCACGTTCTGAAGATTTTGAGATAGTATAACTTTGTCAACTCTCTGAATGAGCTAAAAAAGTTATGTTTAAAAGTCCAATTACGCAATTGTTTTACTTTCATTTAGTATAACGCTCAATTATGCATTTTGGCTTTTAGAAGTGTATTGAAGCCAGACGAAAATAGAGCTAGAAAAGATGTGTTTTCCAAGAAAATAATTTTTTAAATTGTCATATCTCTCTTATTTCGCAATATTTTTAACATGGTTTGAATGGAATCAAAGCATAGTTTAAAAAAAGATAGATTTCTGAAAAAGACCTAGTGCAAAAAAAATTGACTTCTTTAAGTCAAATAACCGCTCAATTGAAAATAAAGCCTAGATAGGATGATTCAAAACTGACTACAAGTTGTCAACATGATATCCATCGAGATATTAAAGGTAGTTATGGATGGACCTGTTGCATTATTTTTTGAAACGAGCACGTCTAGGCAAGTCAAGAAAATTTGAACCCGTCACCTCTGGCTGACCGGAATATTATGGAAGAGTCAAACAGAAAAGTGGCTTCCGTCCGGTGCAGATTTGCATTATTTGCGTGCTGCCATCAAAAGCATGCCAAACTATCGCACTTCACGATGTGTTTGCTATTATCAAAATGTAATTAAGCAGAAAATTGCTCATATGGTACCATTTGCGTCCGGCACTCTCAATGGTGAACTAACAACTTTACCAGGGTCAATTACTGCCGTGTACATACATACATGCTGTAATACAGTCCGAAGCTAATTCAATTGTTAAACTTTGTAATGAAACCACTCGTTAGTAGCGCTGTGTTAATTTATAACTCTTTCTCTTTCTATCTCTACAGACATTGACAAGAATGGCTTCCTAGACAACCAGGACTTCCAGTGCATGGCTCTGCGTGCCACCGTCGTCGAAGGCAAGGGCACCATCAACCCAGCCCGCCTGAATGAGTACAGGACCATCATGAAGGCTCTGTGGGATGAGATCTCTGCCCTTGCCGATTTCGATAAGGTAAGTTAAATTAATCGCCTTTCTATCACCGTCAAATCGCGTAGCGTTCCCTTTTTCTTATTCAACCGGAAAACGACGAAGCATCAGCAGAAGGGTTAACTAGGTTTACTCGAAATTATCCGTTAATTATGCGCTCTTAAAAAAGCAAGCAAGCGTGAGAACGAAAACATCCTTTTATCGATTTTTGTTCGAGACCCAATGCCTGAGTTAGAACGCATCAAGACAGATGGTAATAGTACGAAGATGCTTTTTGATTGCCAAAAGCAATTAAAAAATAATCGAAGCTCATCACAGTTCTGGGTATCTCAATTTTCTTATGTTTTTTTTTTCAAATCACAGACTTATAACATGTTATAATAATATCGACTTCGGTCAGACATCTTGATATACTTTATGACTACTCTAAAACTTGCAAATGCCGTTCCACTTCCACCTACATAACGTTTAAGGTGAAAAGAGCTCGTGACCTTTTTCTGATGGATCTCATTGTCCCTTCGAATCTTCCAGAGTATAAATATCAACTACCAAAAAACTTATACAGACGAAACTGATTCCCCACATTTGCAGCAGTAAATATGGTGAATCAAATGTCATGCACGGAGTCATAATAGTATCCGACAACCATTTGAAGACTATGTGTCGTATGTCGAAGGAAATCTAGTCTACTTTAATCACTTTTCCCACACAAACTTTATTTAGTTAATTTAATTCAATAATTCGATGACCCTTATCAAATTAGAGAGAACTAACAGTATTTCATTGCTATATAGTATACAATGAACCTTGTGTAGAAAACTGGAAACTACTTAGTGATACACAGAGAATATTTAAAAAGAATCCTATGATCAATATTCGCTCACAAAAGAAGAAGAAAAACTCATGGTTTTATTAAAAAATACCATAAATAAGCAAGATTAATGAAATGAAAAGTACCCATATGCAGAATTTGAAATCACCGATACAATATAATGTGTTCGCCGTTAGAGCTAATGTAGCTAATGTAGCGATAATGTAGCTCATGTTGAAAAGCGGCATCAACATGTTTCTATTCTACTAAAACCGTCATATACTCTCGACACCTATACCGGGAGGGAGGTACGTCTAACTAGTTAACGGAAACCACCAAAAGCACGCTGTTTACCTTTCATTTCCAATTTAACCTACGCTTGCCGATGTGATACGCGAGTATGAGAGTTTTTCTTGTTGCTCCTAATCGCTGAAAAACCGCTTTTGGATCACCCAGATTGCAAACAACGCCACTTGCCGTGCACAGTCTCCGATTGACTCCATCAAAAATGGCAGAAATGGTGACTACTGTATGAATAAGTAATCAAAGGAACGTTATAACGCACATTAAAATTGATTGATAGCAAACACGATCTAGTTTTCCCTTTGATTTTCATCACCTGTGGAAACCGGGGCGATTAGCATGTACCGTTGACTGATTTCAAATCAACACCGTGGAACTGTTTTATTTATTTTTTTTTTCCATTCGGTCGCTGTTTTGGGGTAAACTGATTTTGTTGCCCTAGGTGGATTGTGAATGGTACATATTAACCGTTAAATTAATACCGCATTGATGGTGAAGTGCTGCTAGTGAAACTAAACAGAGAAGTCGTAGTCCACTCTGGTTTATTTTTAATCCAAACTCGCACCGTTACATGCGGTCAGCGTATTGTTTGGCTGAGTAGATGCATCAACTGTCGGCATTGGTTAGATTACAGACGCTTTGAAATGGATGACGTCAAACAAATTTATCCCAATAATCGAACTCATGATTTTGAATAGCTAACTAACGACATTTTCTTTTCTCTCGCTACTCCCAACAGGATGGTAAGATCACCACCGATGAATTCAAAGATGCCGTCAAGGCCACCTGCCTCGGAAAGCCATACTCCGATTTCCCCAAGGTAAGTCACATGCAACATTAAGGAATTGATATTACTGCTGCTGGGAGATGAATTTAGAGGTAATCACCCTTCGAAATCGTTGTAATATGCGTGCATTCCCAGCTCCAGCGGGAGCACAGTCTGCGTTTTTTTCGTAGGTGAACAGCTGACAGTTTATTAGGTGCCGAAGGCGGAATTACAACTGCCCAAACAATCGTGCGGTTAACTGTATTGGAGCTGATTTATGTACGAATTTTTCTGCAGACTTTGGTTAGTAGCATGGAGTCCGGATGTACCAATCCCATGCTATGAAAATAAGATTATTTTGCTCATATTATTTACGTATTTTGCACAGTTATTGCGCTAATTTTACTCTCTAGAAAAAAAACCCTCTTCAAGGTAGACTTAAAGAAAACATATTATATTTGTATGCCAGTATGCATAGATACAATAAAAATCCTTTTGTGAGATATCTATAGTTAGAAATATCTCAACCAATTTAGCAAAACGGCAAGCATTATGAAAGAACTACTTCAATGTGCCACTATGTTCAGCCTTATTTTCATCCAGTTTACCAATCGTTCAAGATGAACTAATTACAGGAGCTTCACAATTTCGGTTCCTTTCGCACCAAACCTATTTTAAAAAAAAACAACATTTGCTCAAGCTTGCTTTAAAAATTAATTGTTTTACTGAGACATCCAATCAACGTTAAATAACATGAATTAGATTACCGCTGACAGTTAATCATATACAGCGTCCACTCGCTTTAGTTTTTCCACCTATTTAATTATATAATTAAATTTACTACCATTTGCCACGATACGACGGCACTGCAGAAGAAGGTACTTAATTGAATGATCTTCCAGTAATGTATTGCCTGCAGGCAAGCCAAATGCCACCTCGGTTCAAAGGATGCACTTCCTGTGTTTTTCCTCTCAAATGGACCTGGGCATCGCCTGTACCATACCTGCCAACAAGTGAAATGAACCATTGAACTCCCTTGAAATCAATTTACCTCCGTTTCAGGTGAATACATACTCCACTCGGTTGTCAGCACATCCAACGATATTGTGACTATAGAAAATTACCTGAAATAAACATGTTTTTATACTTTAATTTTCCTTTGCTGAGCGGGAGAATCGAAAACATACCAATTATTTAGCCGACGACGAACATGTTATTGTTATTTTAAATGGGTGTAGCTACCGCCCGAAACGACCTGTTCCACTTATTTCGGCTCATAATCTGAGTACTGAGAAGAAGAGGGGAGCATAATTCGCGTGAATCGTGATGTAAGCTATTTTTAATATCATCTACGCGCCACATTTAATTATCCCAGCCAGATCAGTAGCAGCAGCGGCGCGCGCTTTTCTTTCGATTTTCTCACATAGTATTCTCGGGTTACAAACCACCACACGTGCATATGGATAGGATAGGATTCATTTGTTTCCGACCAAGTATCCGACCGCGTGTTGGAAAGAAGCACGCAAGGGATTTAAGAGAGTGTTCTCTTGTTCCACGCTTCGCGTGCGCTTTATATGACTTTTTCTATGTGCTAGGAAAGGTGTCAGGAGATGATGTAGGAGAGATGGGGGTTAAATGCCTAGGCTAAGGAAGATCTCCGCTGAATCCACAACGTGAGCCGATATTTAAGTGCAGTATTAGGATATTGGCAAGATATTACTATTGATATGCTTTAAGAACATTCCAATATTCTTGTTTAAATTAGTAACATTAAAAAGGCCAACAAAAAACTATTTTAAAATACTGTGAGGCAAAATGCGCTTACTGATTTCTTGCCAAGGAAGCATACATTTAGGCTTTCCTCTATTGAAATGGTTCACGCCTGATGGTTATGCTTTCGACACTTCAATTCGCAGGGCGCATTATGCCCCACTTAGTGTAACAAATAGTATTGTGGAAAATTGCTACTATTTTTCTAATAAGCATACCAGTTGAGCTATCGAGCCTAAAGATGAAGAATGTACCTAACAACTTGCATTAATCAAATCGTTAATTTTGGTAGTGTTCAGACCATGAAATGACTTTTCTTCCGTGGTTTTCTGCCAAAATTGTGTGTTTTTTTTTAATTTTATAAATTTTAAACGACTTTCATTAAACAGATTTTTGCTTTCATTCACATAGTTCGTTTTAAGTGCAACGTATGTCCGCATTTTTTCACTATAATATCAACTAGCAGCTGAGATATAAAGGGGCGCATTGTGTCCACTATCGGCGTTTTGCGCCCATTTCCCATATCAACAACAGAAAGGAGAAGTTGGAAGCCCACCACCATCATCACTTAAGAGAAGAGAACTTGTTATTTAATAATCCAGGGGGAATATAGTACGAATAATTAATTGCTATCTTAATTCCTCGTCCGATGAGTGATGTGCGTAGTGTAGCAATTTTTATCTAGCGAGCGACACGCGTTGGTCTACAGTCAGTGGTGAGCTAAGTATGTAATACAAACGAAGAATTAATGGCTCATAGATTTTGATGTTGTGGGAAGTAGACGCCAAGCAGCTTAGTTTTGGCTGATGGATGGAGTGGCATGGTGATGGTGGTTCATTAAAAAACATAAAGTACAGTTCGCCTCCCGGTTATGCGGAAACAGGGTTGCGTGCTCGGGCAATATGTTTGGTTCACAGTCAATTCGAAAGCACAGCGAATATTGAAAGCCTGCTTATTCAACTTCAAAGGTTTTAAAGGAGAGTAATGTATCTTCTAATAGTCAACATTGGAGACCTTAAACTTAAGCTTAACTTCAAGGATCTTAAGGGGTTAACAAGCATGACTGGTAAATGTATGTCAGTCTTTTAGATGCGCGGAGGGGCTGACAAAATTGGGTAATTACTGTATACCCCCGACCCAACTTTACGGCCTACATATGAAACCCAATGATGTGACTCGTTTAAAAATCCAGAAAAAAAAATCAAATAAACTATTCTCTATGTCCACAACAGAAAAAGAAAGTTGAACAAAATTACGAGCGTAAAAAATGGATAAGTGTTATTCCATGTTAAATTTAATGGAATAGCTACTTTGGAGCAGATGTCGTGATTAAAAGTTACGGAGATTTTGTTTGTTTGAAGAAAATCGGAAAATGTTGATATTAACAAATCAAGGACGTTTTTCCAAAATAACATTTGGTACAGGTACTGGATAAACTTTTAATGGATCATATTTTTTTTTATTTTTAGTCCAAAATCGATAATTTTAGAGTAAAAATCATATCTCCGTACATTATTTTTTCGATTCATCGATTATGTCGTTTAACGAATTATTTCGTGAGCATTAATCGATGTTGGTTTTATGAATTAAAAACATAATCAATTAGTTAATAATCGTTTAATCGGGAAAGTTAAACATCCCTAGTCAGACTTTTATGAATTATCTTAATTATAAGATACATTCAAAATTTTGAGACGTCGTTTTCTGAAAATATTCAAAATATAACTGCTAACCAAATTTAAGATTCATCTGTTTAATTCTTTATTTCATCAAGGGTGGCCCCTTATTTACACCCATGTCTAAGCTAGACTATCCCAAATTCAGCAAATAATGGAATACCTTTGCATATAGGTAGAGGTAAACTTCGAACAGGGCCATAAATCTCCTGTTCTCAACTTAGCTGTATATAGGAACCAACAATCGATTCGACGAAAACAACGAACCGTTTATAGCGGGCGGTTCCCTCCAAGCCGTAGTGCTCATAAATTTCCCAATGAAAGCACGCTTTCAAGAGGCGCTACCATGTAACATGCGATGAAGAAATAATTTCCCCAGCATGTATAACACGTGCCATTCGTTATTTTGCTCATAATTCTCCCGCGTAATCGGTGCTGCGGTGCATTCAAAAGACCTCCAAAGATACGACCGATGTAAAGTGGCAATTTAATTGGATAACATGAATAGGCATCAATCGTGACAAGCATCTCATCTCGGAGTTACAACGGGATTAACTTTCCTGCAGAACTAGCCGCTTGCTCTTCATGAATCACCCAACCTATACCAAGCGTATGTAAATGCCTACTTAAGTTTGACATGTTGTTATGTTATGGAATGTTCGTAACAGAATCGTTATCAATGTCAGAGGCCCATTGATGGATAGACCATAAAATTCGACTCATTGGCTATGCACATCCGTATCACCTGAGGAGGTGGCGTAAATTTATATCCGTTCCTATAATATACAGCCTGGAGGCGTTAGATGAGTGAGGCCTTTGACATCGAGTGGGAAGTGGACGTATTGTGCTGTGGACTAAATCTGATGTAGGGGTTGATATTCTCGATGGATGGATATACTTTCATTGAAATTGATTGCATACGGTTCATATTGATAGCACCTTGTTGATGTAGGTGTAGTTGGCGTTACAATGAGTAAAGGCGCAATTGATATCTTTCTTCACATTGTCCCTCGGACATTTTAATTTGAAATCGATGCATCCAATAGTAGAAAGAAGCAGTGGGAAAGTTGCAGCACAATTGAACATCTAGAGAGGATGACAAACGTGAAATAATATACTGAATTCCATTTGCACTATGTAGCACATCGAGTGGATTCAACACTTGCTCGTGTATTTATCTTCACTGAGAGCGCAATAATATTGTGCGATCGTCACAGTTATGAGACATTGAGTTTTAAAATGTCAAATAATGTCTTTTTAATGTAGCTCCTACTGTACGGAAGTGGCATTATAGAAGAAATCTGCTGGTGGTTATTGATAGCTACTTTAGTCCGCTAGTTAGAAAGTGACAATTCTAATACTACCAATTCCACAAAGTATGGAAATTCACACGCATTCTTAGGTCACTTTCACATGGAATAGGTCTCACATGTCCGTTATCAAATGGATAAGGGTACTGCATACACACTTCCAACGTCAAAGGAATGTTTTGAATCCAGCATTTAGCAAAGCGTTTGAAAGGTCTCACCAAATTCTTGCATCGATGTGCGACGTCGGTAGCTTCTCACAGAAGGCCCTTCGATGGACAGCCGTTGGTAGTTGTCGTTGTTGGCCTCTCTTCTCGAGCAATTCACAGTACAATTACATGCCTTCTGGTACTTCTATGAATACATAGGTAACTTGTTTATGTTTCAAGAAAGTATCTGCACAGGAAAATATGAAAAAAAGAACTACACTCATTTAAAACCAAAGAAGGTAAAACAACACTGTAGGTTGGATACAAATTATTAATCAAACATCTTTATCCTTAGTACTGTAAATTTGAACAAAATATTTCGTAATTGGAAATTATTCCGTTTTTGACAACTGAAAAACATTAAGTGTGTTGCCAAAGAAACTATAAGTTTTTGGAAATACTTTTTTTTCGATGTTGCTTTTAATATTTTAAGATATTTATGAATATATCCAAGTTGTCAGCTCCTTAATAATTTCAAATTTTTCATGAAACTTTTATTTTTCCACAAAGTTTATTGGTAAGTCTCAAATGTGAAATACCTTGGATGATAATGGGGTAAACAAAACACAATTCAAAGCGGTCATGAAACTAACTTAAATACTCCGAATCTGACAAAAGCGAACGAAAAAACGAAAAAAAAATCCAACCACAATTTGAATATCATTCCCGATGATACAGATATCTTATAGAATCCATCCCGATGAATGTCGTTATCTTCATAAATACCCTGGCCCATGGCCCGGTTAGCCACTAAACAACAATGCGACGATGAAACCAGGCATTTGAGGCTGAATGGTACACTCCACAACACTGCACATGATTTGTGGCATTTCATGTTTCCCCTCCGGAGCAGACCCTCTCGGTATCGTATCTAATGTGTGGCTCTTAAAGTAGTCTCCAAACCGTGTTAGCATTTTCAATGACCGCTTCTTTTTATGCAAATTTTTTAGTGGCTGCAATCAGCAGTAAGTTGTGAAACGAAGTTAAATTTGCGAATGACTACCAGCCAAATGTTCACATCGATTTACAGTGGAACGGACAATATGCCCGGTCACACCGACTATTGAGTGCGTGACACATCTCGCACCAATAGCTTTCACAGAAAACTCACGAGGCTCGTCGTCAATCTAATTCCAGCATTTAGCTTGAACAGTTTCATGGTTTCCTGTGATCCTATATTATTTGTTGGTTTTGAGTTTTTTTACTTTTCCGCCTGCTATGACTAAGCTCCAAGCATCACGTTTCGTTCTGTTGACTTCTCATCATAACTTGAGAAAGCAGCACATTAGTGCGGGAAAAACGTTGTTTCAGGCAAAAGGACCAGAGTGATACGTAAAGATGCAGCATAATGAAAATTTAATATGCAGCCTGTCCGCGATACCAATCCTGAATAAAGCTTCTGTTACTGTTCTGAGTGCTGACTGAATTGAACGACAAGAAGACGCCTTGTAATGGAAAGGTATTTGAACGATGCTAACCTGTCTTGTACTAAAACTTCTTGAACATCTGAACTTCTCTATGAGACTTGAACGAAATAAAAATTTAAGAAAAACGCTAATTAATAGACACTTCGTACCAGAGATATTTTGAAATATTCTTCCAACAATTCCAAGTATAATATGTCTTTGCATGTTTGGTCCTTTTTACGACGACACACGCTGAATTATTTCTCAAGCTAAACAGTAGACATTAAGACTACTAGTGGCATCGTAAAACGCAGCAAGAAACGGATGAAACTATATCAAAAGCAATAAAAACCAGAATGCGTCTGTTCGAACGACCACTTATTTGTGGCTAATTTGATAAATTTTGCTAATGAACAAATTTTCGCGCTTGCTGAATCCTCGTGATAAACGCAGCAGCCATCACACGTCGCGAGCAATCGCTTAAATTACCATTAAACAAACCATCATTGTCGGACGTGCGATTTGTGGTGGAAGCTGTCGTCATCAAATGAATTTGTTTGTCTCACCTAATTCGAATGGAACAGTTTTCAGGCGCCACTACCGACGAGATTGCAATACACCGCTATTCTCTATTCCGTTCTAAACTTTTTAATTTTGTATGGAGAATCCATTTCGAACGGAATACAGAATAGAGGTGATAGAAAACAATGACACAGTTGATTTGACTGTTCTAGGGTATCCTTTTTCCACTAAACCATCCGAGCAAGCAGAAATAAATTAATTGCACTAGCAATGCATGAACAATTAATGGAATTAATCGATTCCCTCTTTCTGATCTTCTGCAGGCCATGAAGGCTTTCATTGATGCTCACTACCAGATGATGGACATCAACGCCGACGGTCTGGTCAGCATAGAAGAGTACCGTTACAACTGCATCACCAGAATCGCTCTGGATGACATCAAGCAGGTCGATGATTCCTACAACCAACTCGTCAGTGTAAGTATTGATGCCTATACCTATGTAATACCTCAAATCCCCACAAAATGCAGACGCATGGTAGGCCATGACTGCACGCTAAGCCTTCTTGGATTCATAAATTTTAATTATGACATGCTATGACGTAAATCACACCATAACCTTATTAATTTTTTTCAAGCGCGATTTAACTATGGGGGTATTATTGGCATTTAAATTAGCTATTTTTATGAATCCTGCAGATTACTGCCACAACGTTTATGCCGGTCTAAAACTATAAAAAAATGCGCTTCTCACGCAGAAGAATGAAAACGATTTCCTTTTTTTCGCTCATCTCTTCCAGGACGAAGACAACAAGCGCGGAGGAATCACCCTACAGAGATACCAGGAACTGTACGCCCAGTTCTTGGGTAACGAGAGCGACAACTGCTCGGCCGTCTATCTGTATGGCCCAATCCCAGAATAAGCTGTTTGAACCAACATTCGAAGATTCACCATCCCAACTAAAGTACCAACAACCGTATTGCGCTTCTGCTTGATAGTACACGCAGTTCGAGATCATGGCGAACTGTCAAGCATCAGCCATAGAACAAGATGAAGATAGATGCTAGAAGTGAGAAAGAGGAAAAGATCTAAATCAACTTCTCGATCAAACAACATCCTGATTCGAATACTAAAACATCCCAATCTGCCTAAAGTAAACAACATCGGAGCAGAAAAAAAAACAATGTTAACCATATGGAAATTTAATAAAAAAAATAAAACTACCAAACTCTAGCTATCCAAAGCGATTCAGATAACAGCCCGAATCAAGCCTCTTTCTGCAGGCGGTAGTTGAACCGGTGATCCTATCTCGGCCCTACATCATCTTGGGCCCTGTTCAATGAAAGCCATGTTCCAAGTAAACACAACATCCACGGATCACCATGCTACTATAGCAACGGAACGCCGACGCCCTCTACGACATAGTGTGCGCGTTGATTAACGGGTTCGCGGGTGTTATCATCCAAGTTCACGTTGATCGGCCTCTACCAACAGCTTTCAATTTTGTTTAAGTTCTGATTTTTTTTTTCTTTCAGGACAACTGGACTGATTTGCTTCATGCAAATCGTTCAAGCCCGTTCTTTAAAAATTCTGTTTCGTTTGTATTTGTACATATAAACCAAGTGAGAATCAATATCAACCATTTAACTTTAATTGTAACGTTCAATTTGAGAATGACTTTTTTTCTGGAAATACACTAACTATTAGCGATAAATGAACACAATATATAAAGTTAATAATTTTTTTTACTGAAACTACTACTCTAATTATTATTGTTCATATATGTTACGGTGTTTTAAATGTTAGCTTTAATGTTTAAGAAATATTTCTCGCCTCCTTCTTTGAAAGTTTGAAAATCTGTTATAACATCAACAGCAAGCACACTAACATCGTGCAAATATTGAGGTTATGTCATAATGTTCGTTTGTAATAATACCATCAAGATCAAGGAAATAACATCAAGCAAATAACAAATTAAAGAAGGTTTGTTAGTTTATAATCATTAATACTAGTAATTAACTGCTAAGTGAATGAAAAGACAGAAAATGTTTAAAAAATAGCTAGTTTATATATATATATATATTTTAATGTTACTCAGCGTAGGAATCTATCTTCGAACGAAAAAAAAGAAGAAGAAACAACTGTAATCACTTACTTTACCATACTATTGTAATGTTATAAAACATGCAGCAAAAAGCAGTGATTATTTCCTGACAAATGAAAGCTACACCCAATGTAGACAACATCTTCGGTAATGTCAACTTTGCTATTTATTTTTTCTAGAACTGACAACTAACTAGAGAAGACAAAAACTAGTTTGACCAAATAACATCCAATTAACTATAAAGAAACAATACAGTTGCGAAGTAGTTTGTCCCATTAGTTATCCTTTAATTGCGTGTGTCGTAGTGATCCCTTTAAGAACAACAACAAAAATAACAAACAACAACATCTTTAATGGAAACAACAGCTTTTAAACTTTACAGAGAACTCATATCAAGATTTTGATTTATTTTTTGTTTAAATAATCACTGTTTTTTCGTCACCTAAACCAGACTTAGCCCATAAATTAATGTAAAGAGAAGCTTTGCTTAGTTGTATGATAAAAACTCGTCAGAATAATTAATAATAACTTAGAACCACGGGCAAATAGCATGAATTATTTATTATCCTCTTCATTTTTAAGGACGAAATAGTATGCATTTTAGAGAACTCCACCAGCTAACAGTGTGTATATGTTTTATTCTTGAAAGTGTCTCTCGTGTCTAAGCAACAACTCCAGACCCGAGAAATGGTGCGAAAAAGTAATAATAAATAATTTGTCTTATTTATATATTCGTAGAAAACAACATCTTTTTATACACAACAAATTCGCTTAAATATTATCAACATTTTTGTAAAAAAATCGCAGTTTTTTATTTTTTTTTTTTTTTTGCTCTAATCCTTTATAACGTTACACAAGTAAAAACAAGCAACATCAAAAACGATAAGTTAGCAAAAAAGAAATTGGAGAAAATATGAAACCACCTAAAAACGAAAAATCTACTTTGTTTTATTTATTCTAAGTAGACACTGGATCAATGTTTGTACAGGAGGATGGCGGAAATCATTTCTTTTGATTTGTTGGAATATGGCTTCAGTAAGCGAAGAACACCGTATAATAATAATTACAAACCTTCAACGTTCAACATTGGAACACTACAACAGGTCCGGTCATGTACCCTTTTCGGTACGCAGTACCTGCTAGTTGCTGCAAAAGGAAAATTCTGCAGAAAGCGCTGGAACAGACTTATAGGTTAACTCCTCGGAACCCAAACTGAAAATGAAGTCGACGTTTTCTGATGTCTCCGTACCGTTAGAAAGGAATCTTATTGTCGTATCGGATCGGATGAGAAAGGATCTCATAGTCGTATCGGATACTTGGTCTTTGTGTTGAATATTACTTATTCGACTTCACAGGTTTATAGTCACTTTTCGTACATTTTCATTTGATTTCCCATCGGTAGGGAAAAGCGTACATAAATACCTTTGTCGAGCTCTCGTGAACAAAGTGATTCAAGTACGTGCGCTAGCGTAGTTTTGACTGGTCAGAAGCGCTAAGTGGTGGGTTTCCGGACCCTTCCCAACACCGTTTAGGGAGTAATAAAACACTGCCGTACTAGGTGTGGGTGCCCTTCGAATACGGGTGTATGCGCTCTTTTGGGTTCCTTTCATGCATTTTATCAATACAACATAACACATTCGTCCATCCGCACACAACATACTACATATATTTCCACATAAAACTTTACTTAAAATGTATTCACATCTATACAGTCATCTACAAAGCTAATACAGCACATACGCAAACACACACCAATCATCCTCCTAAAGAGTCAGAGCCAGGCTTCCAAATAGTACAAGCTTCTCGCGACAGTTAGTTTATACCTGAATTGACTGTTGCTTTGTGTGCTTTACTACCGCTTGCTACCGTACGTTCAGATCTGAATTCGAAGTGTATTGGCAACAGCGCACGCACGAACGAATGATGTGAATACAGAATTATTGTCAATACCGATGTATTACGATACGATTATTGTCAATAATAGCAAACGTTCGTTGGCATCAGCCGCTCAAAATGAAAACACTTTTGAGATTTTGTCTTCCGATGAACTGGACTCTGACATAGCAGATGAGAGTGAGTCTCCGGAGGTACACGCCCCTGGTAAAAGGAAGCCGACTAGCTCCCCGGGAGTGCGCCGGAAAAAAAATAAAACCACTCTGAAAAGCATGCAAAAATCTGAAGGTAGCGGGGATTCATTGAAAAAGCCGAACAAATCGGTAATTGCTGCTCCATCTGATCCTTGCTGCAGCTTTTCCACCCCGCCGCTACCTAATAAAGGTAATCGTAAGAGATTACCAAAAATAAACACCACGTCTACTCGCAATTCAAAGAAAACTCTCCCGTCCAAGCGAGGAAAGATTAAATTTAAGGACATTGTGGATAACATTTTGAATGCCCTCGGCTTTCTCGACGAATCGCCACTTCGAGGGCTTATTGACCTGCTTGTTCCTATAGTCGGAAACTACTTCAAGCAATTGACTGCATCATGGCCCCTCATTGGTGAATTCATATCTTTCGATGGATAATTCGTCGAGTGAGGATCAAGATATGATCACTTTATTATAATGGAACTGTCGTAGTTTAATACCTAAATTAGACTCGTTCAAGTATTTGATTCACAATTCTGATTGTGATATATTTGCACTCTGTGAAACTTGGCTTTCTTCTGAAGATGAACTAAACTTCCACGATTTTAACATTATCAAAAAGTGCTACTCCTTCTATAAAATCTCAATCCCAATAATTTCAGGCATTGAAATTGTCGCTTGCCAAATAAATGTGAAGAACAAAGATCTTTGCATAGCTTCTGTATATGTCCCTCCATGGACTTCCATAAACCGCCGTCAGCTTTGGAGTTCAGTTAATATCCTTCCATCTCCAGTTCTAATACTGGGCGATATGAACTCACACGGTACTGGTTGGGGCGAATCATACGATGACAATAGAGCGGGTATTTTCTATGATTTGTGCGACGATTTCAACTTGACTATCTTGAACACTGGTGAAGCAATACGTATAGCAAACCCTCCTGCTCGAGAGAGCCGTCTTGACATTTCTTTGTGCTCTAACTCACTATCATTAGATTGTCTGTGGAAGGTTATCAATGATCCCCATGGTAGTGATCACTTGCCAATTATTATTTCAATCAAAAGTGGTCTTCTAAAAACAGATCAGTCAATTTAAGTTCCTTTTGACCTCACGAGGAACATTGATTGGCAAAAATTTGTATCGGCGGTAACTCTTGGTATTGATTCTACCGATCCTCTACCACCACTGGAAGAGTATCGTTTCTTTACCGAGCTAATCTACAAAAGCGCATTAGAAGCTCAGAAACGACGTGTTCCAAGTGCATCCCTCAAAAGAAGACTCGCCACCCCTGGCTGGGATGACGAATGCACAAAGTTGTAGAAATCCAATGCCTTTAAAGATTATCGTAGACATGAAAGATCTGAGCTTTTTGAAAAGTATCTAAAGCTTGAAAAAAAGCTTAAAAACTTACTAAAAGCAAAGAAACGAAACTACTTTCGTACTTTTATCGAGGGACTTTCTAGAGAAACCTCGATGACAACGCTTTGGAAAAAGGCTCGCTATATGCGAAACCGCTCATCTTCCAATGAGAGTGAAGAATACTCCTCCCAATGGATATTCGACTTCGCTAAAAAGGTTTGTCCAGATTCTGTTCCAGCACAACCAACTTTACGGGATACAGCCCGAAGTAACGGTTCTCTGGATGAACCATTCACAATACTGGAATTTTCAATGGCACTTCTTTCATCGAATAACTCTGCTCCGGGAAGCGATATGATCAAATTCGACCTTCTAAAAAACCTCCCCGATATCGCTAAAAGACGATTACTTAACCTATATAATTCATTTATGGAATTCAATATAGTTCCACCAGCATGGAGACAGGTTAAAGTAATAGCTATTCAAAAGCCTGGGAAACCAGCGTCTGATCACAATTCTTACCGTCCGATCTCTATGTTATCATGCCTGAGGAAATTATTAGAAAAAATGATCCTATTAAGACTTGACCATTGGGTTGAATCAAACAATCTACTTTCAAATACGCAATTTGGTTTCCGGAAGAGTAAAGGAACAAACGATTGTCTAGCG